AAATTAAACCCATGTGTATGTTTAGTATAATCTGGCACTTAGGTTGTTGCTGGTCATAGGAATGTGATGTTTACAGTTTACATTCTTTCGCAGACTTTCCTTTTTTTCCTGAATTTAAGTTAAAACTCACTTGGTCTCACCATAGTATAATTTAGACTGCTGAGGGCAGCAGGACTGCTCCTTTGCAAAGCACACCTGCAGCTACAGCACTGATAGATGAGTAAGCAGGCATACAGGTAACAGACCATGCAGCTTGTGGGGCATAACCTAGCAGTCTGGTTGTCCTTGTGCTTTCAGCCCAGTGTATGAAAAGCATGTGGCTTTCTAGTCCCACTTTCTTTGAATAACAATGTATGTTCTCAATTCCTGACCAGCCACGCAAAAAGCAAAAGCAAAGTGAATAATGTGGGGTGTCTGTCCAAAACACATTTCCATCCAATTGTGAAACTGCACCTTTAATGAACTACCTTAATTTGTTAAAGTCAGACCAGTCCCTGCCAGGGCTCTAGAGAGCAAAACTGTGTGGTGGCAAGAGGTAGATAAGAAGGCAAAGCAGACCTGGCGAAGAGGGACACAGAATATTGCAGGAGGTATTTTGAGCATATGAGGATTAAGATCAGCTCAGAAACCTCTGGTCAAACCCCAGCCCATGACTGTGTAGTCCTTAGCGCTCCAGCATGGTCAGATGGAGAAATGCCAGTGGGAAAACAGTGCCGTGGGCCAGTAGTGCCTAGGCCTGTGGGCATGTTATCAGGATGTAGTTGAATGTGAGCACTCGGGCATCTGAAAAGCAGCACACTGCACTCCCCTCTTTTCCAAGGCAAAAAGTAAGCTGAAGCAGCAGTTCCTCAAGCATAGCATACAGGGGAGAACTGGTTTAGTGCTTCCAGGGTAAATTTCCACACCAGTGACAAAAAGTGAATGAACTGCAGCTATCCAAGTAGGCATGAACACCAATACCTATTTCAATCAGTGCCATGCCAGCTTTTGGCTCTAGCTTCCAGTCTGTGCCAAATGACATTATCAAAATAGCATGTAAGTTCTGCCACAGGACAACAGAGCAGAAATGTAGCTGTCCAGATCACTTGACCCTACCCTGACACTGCTGATTACAGTTCTACCCACAACAGCAACTACCAAGACAAAATAAAGAGCAATCCTTCAAAAGTAGCAGAGCCCCATGCTTACAAAGGAACACATTTTTCAAGTGTTGCTTCTTAAAGGAAGTTTATTCCAATGCTTCAGGTTTTTTTCCAGTATTTTTAATGCTTTAATTGATCAGAAAGATGACAAAAAAAAAAGCCTTCTCCAATATAGTAAGCAGCGTGCTGTGAGAGAGGTGTCTTTTATAAACTGTTTAATCAGGTATCTTCCCAACCCTTCAGAAGAGATTTTATACTGAACACTTGCCCCTCAGCTGTTGTTCCCAGAGGATGAACAAGCTCAAGTCCTGGCTATTCCAAATTTTACTACAACCTCAGAATTTATGGGGTCTCTATAAATCAGTATTCCAAAAGGTAAGTCACACTGAAGAATAGCCCTTCCCAGCAAGGCAGAAAGTCCTGGTATTCAATGTCTGTAGAGAGAAGGAACAGAGGAAGAAAGGGAAAGCCGGGCTTCTTTACACACTAGACATCAGGCTAGTGCCAACAGCAGAGGAGCAATCGACAGCTCACAATAGGTTTTTAGCATAAAAAACAACTGGAAATTGCTGTTGTGGAAGCTATAGCAGCAGTGGATGCTAAAGCAAAGCGTTTCTGATACTCAGTGACACCTTTATACTGGCAGAGGTTTACTTGCCAATAGCCTGTCTCGCCATTCTTCTACAGGAAGTCTTATTCCTTCTTTGAAGGTCTGTCATGAGGCCATCTTGCAACGCAGCTCTCCCACCCAATAGGAAAACAAGTCCAGAAAGAATAATTAAGGCAAGACTTACCCTGTATACTAGAGAAACTTCAGAAGACACAATGTAACTGTTCATATTATCAGATCTGCTGCTCCGAAATAATAAATTACAGCAAAACCTTAGTGTGCACTGTAGGCTGCTCAGGAACCGCTGCACTTGTCAGCATGCAATTACATAGAATAAAATGTAATAGCTTCTAAAGGCAGTATGTAATCATTTCGTATGCCTTGCAGGTACAGACAAACACACATAACTGGTGACATGGGTTTATTTACTGAGTTATTGCAAAATACAATACTTTGCAATCAATACAGAGCAACTCTATTCAAAAACTATTAAATACATGGTTACATCTGTGTCCTCTTGTGATAACAAAGTAAAAAATATTAAAGTTTTAACAGCTGGAACATCAAATAATGATCTTCACAGAAGAGTAACAAAAGCACTGGTTGAAATCACACTCCAAATATTTAATTAGACATGGTGTATGATCTATGCAGCAACTTTAATACTGGAATCCAGTACTCAAGGCTAGCTCTGGTTCACTGTATACCTGCATTTTAGAACTTTCCATTTTTATTTAATCCACTACTTGGAGTTCTTGCCACTACCCTCTGCTTACACTTGCTTACACCATGCTGTCCTGAATTAGCCTCCCTTCAATGACTGACACACCTGATGGACAGCCTCTGGAGGGCCAGTTCTGATCTCTCCTAGCAGCAGGGGAGATCACTAGAGGACAGAGAAAGGAAAGAACATCAGAAGCAGGAAAGTAGTAATGAGAGGCTGTGACAGAACAAGTAGTTAAAAAACAGGACAGTGCATTCCATAACTGTTACAAAATACTGTTCAAGCAGCAGAACTCATACATGGATGCTTGTTGCTAAACAGCTCAGTGATTTGTTATTGTAGGTGTTACACACATACAGAATTCAGCAGTAACGCAGTAAATGACAAAATTGAGATCACTAATTTCACAGCAGTGATCAAAAGCACCTTTCCAATGCTTGCCAGTGCAAAGCTCACGACCAAAACGATGGGCTGAAAATACAGTTGTCAGTCAATGGAGGACTTGTGAGAACACATTGCCAGAACTGCTGACAGAGGACACAAAGTGCCATTTTCCAAGCAGCACTTGAACAGTTTACTTAAGTTTCCCCTCTCCCTAGCCATCCATCTTTTAAAGTAGTAAAAAACAAAACAAAAAAAACACACCACAAAAAAGCCCAAACAACAACAACAAAAAAACCCCAAACAAAACCCCACCAAAACAAAGCAAACCAACCAAACACAAAAAAGTAAAAAGACTTCATGGGAAATATTTTTAAAAGGTGTTGTCAGACAACGTTTCTTCAAAGCCAAGCTGCTGTAATAGTGTACAGAAGTCAGCTTCCAACAAGATGATACTTCATATTTGCCCTTCCAATATTTTTAGGGTGCAGTTCAGCAGTGTGAGCACCAGGTCTGCATTTACAAAAGTGTCCTTGTCCCCACAGGCACGTAGATATTGTACTTCAGCATCTGCTTACACACGTAAGCTTTGTATACATAGCTGTTGTGTGTACACCTTGCAAGTACAAAACAGGCTCTTGCCTTTGAAAACCACAGTACTTAATATATCTAAACCATTAGACTTCCAATCTCTTCCTTTGGTATTGAATTGATAGAAAATTTACAATGCCATTCTTCAGTCTTACACAGACTGAGTTATTAACCAAGAAAATAAAAAAGTAACAAGTCTCAGTATCCAAAGAAATCCACAAATACATTCATCAATATGTAGTACATTACAAATAAGGAGGCAATACATGGAATTGCTATACTACGAATGAAAACCAAGCAGCTGTAGGAAAGCCTGAAAGCCTTCCTAATATTTTTGCTCACGTAACACTTAATGTCACTGTAGCAATGATGATATAGCAGCTTCTGCTATGTTACTTCCCAAGTTGTACACTTTGTTTGATTAAAAGGGGGCTGGGAAATGAAGGGCCTCTGAGGAGTTCAGCAGCAATATTTAAGTGCATTGAAAACACTGATAATCTGTGGCACATAGGAATTAATGGCTTACGCAGGATACTTTTTTTCTATTTACAGTATCATACACTTGTATAAAGTCTCTGCTGCATTTTTTTTTTAGTACTTAGCCTGTGGCAAATCACAGTAACATTATTCAAAGAAAAAGGAAATCCCATTTTCTTATGAAGACTAAGTGACTAATGGGTATTACTTATCCCTGCTTAATCTATCTACCCCTCTGAACCTCATGAATCCCAAAAATCTAATTGGCACAAAAACATTTTGATAACTTAATACAGGAACTGATTGCTCTTGATTGTTTACCTCTTGACTTAATCATTACGTTCACTGCTGGAGAATTATCCACTTTGCTAGATGTCAGAACTAATACATTTTAAAAACAAATAAACAAATCCTACCAGAAACCACACACACAAAAAAAAAACCCCAAACCTGCAAGAAAGAGTGACTTCGCTGTTGGGTATCTGACTGCATGACAGGAAATACCAAAGCAATGGGGTATATCACAGTAATATCATGCTGCCTCTCAGACACCAAAGACTACAGCAAGCCTTCACAAATAATTATGTTTATGGAAGTAGTAAGCAACTCAGCTTCAGCAAAAACCTGCCTTATCACCAGGCTTAATAGGACATCAGAGCCTTCAAAGCAGTTTCCGATATCAGTCTGAAGAGACTGGGATTTCTGGTTCCAGCTGAGGCAGAGGCAAATTAGAGGGGAGTGGGAAGGAACATTGTACACAATGAGACACAGCTGAAAACATGACATATTTGCACTTGAAGATGCAAAACACACTGCAGTAAAGGAGGAAAAACAACTAAATGACATGACATCTGTATCTAAGGGCAGGAGGTATGGCCCTCCACTTTGCAACAGGTTTTTAAATAAGTATTTAAAAAACTTAAAAGAAATCAAGTGCATAACAATCAAGCTGAAGGACAATGCAGAACAAAAGAACCATGTTTGAAGGTCAATTTCAAATCCTTTACAAGACACCTGGATTCATTTCTTCACTGGTAAAACCCTGTCACCAGGTCTAAAGAGCCTTTACATAAAAGGAAGCAGCTGGATACAAGTATGGAAATTTTAAATATTTACTAACTGTTGTATAGAAAAGTTTAGTTGTGAGACTAAGGACAGAGTTGCTTTTAGTCAAAGGATTGCATACCCTTCTAGAAAACAACAAAAACACAGTAAAACAAAACAAAAAATTCCAACCAACTATGCCAACTGATTATCAGTTTACTAACCTTTGTGTTCAAGTCCTCAACTAAGATATTAAAAATGCACTTGCAACACCTGAACACAAAACAGGGTGTATCTGCTATGACAAAATTACTTTTCTTTCCAGCGTACTCTTCATTAGCTTTTGGTGCCACATGCTGAAGAAACTAGATTTAAATCAGTGAATGGCAAGTGTCAGCAGGCAATGATTTGCACTACACTGGTGGCTCCATCTTGATCATCCTTTTCCTCAACACCTCCTTTTTTTAACTTTTAAATTTAAAAATCAATCTTCCATTTGGAAATTCAGAGCCAGGTCTGATTTTCTTTGTCACCTCTGGTCACACTGTAGGATATCTTCAGAGACCATTCTTATTTCTTGCCGATTCCATTCGTTACTTTTGATTTGGAGTGCCGATTCCTCCTTCTAGATGAATGGCTTTCACTATTGACTGAATGTTTTGGTGGACTATTGTCAGCACCTGCTGAGAAATAAATATCTTTTGACTATATATATTTGACATTGTCAAGCTCTTGTCTAAAAGACAATAAGGCTTTCTAGAGCTACAGTGTTTGCAGTTTGGATTATTTCAGGCTAATATAAACTGGCTGATACTTCTACTCCATCTAGTGGCCTATTTTTTTTTTTTAAAAAGCAATTCTTAAGACTTCTGTAAAATTCCTCCTCCTCCAAAAAATTCAGAAGTTTGCTATAGCAGAATATAGTGGTGAAACATCCTCCATTTTAAATGACACCAATAATTAAACCTCCACATTTTTATTACTGGCAGGTACTACTATCAGAAATTAAGAACTATGGAAGTGAGGTCACAGATCCTTGTAAGAGTATATTTCTTGTTTTCAGTCTTTTACATGACAGACCATGTTTGACTCTTGAGAAAGCAGAGGGAGACAATGGGGACTGAAACAATGATTCAAGAGCAAAACATGAAAGAGACTGAAGTTTGTAATTAATGAAGTAACAAAGTCAGAGAAATATTTGCTTGGCCAGATTTCTCCAGCATATATAAGTGGGAAAAACATTTTGAGTGCAAGCAATTTTTCTCAAGAAAATATAAAAATCTACAAATTTACTAAACTGAGAATAAATTAATATCAGCATCCAGAAAAATCACGTTTGAAATATAAAGCAGCTCTGCTGTAGGTGCTTTTCAAGCATATGATAAATAACAAATATTTTTAATGATACAAATACCTGGAGCATAAACTCTGACAGAGATAACTTCCAGGTATGAATCTTGACATTTGTTCAATAAGCAAGACCACACTAAAGAGTTAATGGAGGAGGCAGGTAACTTAACTAACCTCTAGTGTAGGGAAAAAGTCAGAGAAGGAGGCTGCCTTTGCTTAGGACAGAGAAAGCTGTTTATGACCATCAGCACTGCATTGACTAGGCAAGTGTCAGTAAGAACACAAGCTCCAGGGCACATTCTTGACTGTTTCTTAGCAAGCAAGAATAAAAGCACAATTCACATTCATATGTTTCAAATCAAACATGCAATGTTCGGAGAGAAAACCTGTCCACAACAGTTATGCAATGCATAATGCCCTAAACGTACACAAATGGCCTGGAATAATGGCAGAAAAATTCAGTTGCTTTATTAAAAAATAAATACATTCCCAAGAGTTAGAAGAAAAAAGGCAGTAAAGCAAAATAGCTTTGCAGATGATTTATCTGTATAGTTCCTGCAGGAACATTTAAGTCCAGTTGTCTCCAAGGTAAGTTTCTCAGGTCTCGTTTCCCAGTGCTGAGCCTTAATGCTAATACTTGGAGAATATAGTTGCAAAAGTGCCAATACCTCTGCCGAATTTAGAATGAAGCCAGGAAGCATCGGGACTGTATGGGCTGTCTTCACTTTCTGATAAGGTCTGTAAAAGCAAGAAGGACACATGTCATTGGGATGCTGGTGGTTCTTTTGATCAGCACTTCACCTGTTTGCAATTAGACTTGTAAATTTAAACTGTGGCAGAAGTCCTCATAAAACATTCAGCCAGTACTTAAGACTCTTCCCTTCTTAGTTAGAAGGTACAACATAGATGATACAATAAGAAGTCACCACTTGCCACGTGGTCTGTTGTGTAACCAAGTATTCTTAATATTCCCCTAGCATTCCACCTGTACAATGGGAACATTAGCTAACCATTCATCCTTGAATGCTTTGCTAAAATTACAGCCTCATTTTGAGTAACTAAGAGGACAGCATTCTTTAGAAACCACAGTGTAATTTGGGATCTGTCCAAGGCTCGTTGAATCCAGAGTTCTTTCTATTGACTTCAGTTAGACTCTGGACCATCCCCCCCTCATCCCCATTTATACTAGCTCTGGTAAAGAATTCTAATATCTAGGAGTTTTGCAGTTTTAACTCTGGTATAAAATAAAATCAGGCTTCTTAATAAAGTACCTTTTCTCGGTGGCCATAGTATTCTGCATACCAAACCATACCATATAAACACAGGAAAGTTGTAAAGGCCTAAACAAGGAAGGAGAAGAAAAAGAAAAAGTAATCTGTAAAACTTTTTCCAAATTCCTTACTGGTTCAAAGTCTCAGAGTCGCTGGAGATTCCGCTTTCAGAGACTTTCATGCTCTGCTTCTCTCTGCATCTTTTTTCAGGATGAGTAAGACTCATGCTTCAATTTTAAGGTACACACACATTCTGCCACCATGGGGTATGCAGACCAGTTCTTAATGGGAGCATGAGAATACATAGAGATCACCCACATACATGTCTGATACACTGTCAGTATGATTTTTGTCCTCACTCTGTACAGTCATCATACAAAGGCAGCTGGTAGGCACTTGTAGGTATATTATCAGGAACAACCAGTCTGGGAGAAAAAAAATTCTCCTTCTCCCTGCCCCATGCTTCAGTCTCAGTTACATGTTTGGTTTTGTGGTGCTCTGATCTGGGAAGCAATTAAATACTTCTCTCCTCTGAAGTTTCAGGAATAAAATCATCATGCTAAATAAGAGAACAATAAATTCTGACTGCCTATCACCTGTTCAAACTGTGTTCCCAACTAGAAGGGAGAAGTATTTATCTGTCAGCCCATTATAAATGCCTTATTTTTCACTGACCATTAAAAATGTGTTTGACATTGGAGTTACAAGTCTGGCAAGACAAACATCCATTTACTGTTATAAAACAGGCATTTCATGCTGCATTTTCAGGAATCACACTGAAGTACAGAAAGTTGCAGGCTGAGTGAGAATGATTTGCCTGATAAAGCAGGGTTGTTTACATAGTTATAAGACTTCAGTGTGAAACAACATGCATTACTTATTAATGCTATTCATTAACTCCTGTTCCTTTTCAGTGGGCACTATAGCAAGCACCACTAAAGTTAGCCTCAATCAAACTGACATTTTCTCTCAAAGATAAAGCGCCCTATAACTAGTGTTTGTTTCATTGTTAAGCACTGGTAAAGTGGCTATATTCTGCTCTGTCAAGAAATGAGGAAAAAAGTTATTCTAGTTCCTTCAAAGTGTGTTCTAAATGATCTAGCATTTGCTTTTCCTAGAATGTGCACAAAGCTCCTTACCAGCATTCCCCCACAACGATCCCCTGCTGCCAATGTTCCAGAGAGGAAGCTATTTAGATGCTTTCAATGGTTTTGCCATGCTTTATGTTTCACATGAGAAATCTCACTTACCACACAGAGAAGCCAAAACACAACATACAGTATTTGTGTTTTGGAAAAAAGATCCTGTCCAAACTTTATGCACACAATAGCTTCAAGGAAAGCAATAACCCTGTGGGTAAATGAAAAAGGGGGGGGGGGGGGGGGGGGGGGGGTAAAAAAAACAAAAATTTAACACACGTTTTCACAACCCAGACCCCAGCTCTAAACAAGCATTACTCTCTAGTGAGCACAGACCTCCCCAACACCAACATTAACCGAAATTCTTTGGGAAATTTATTTTTCTTTCTATACTTTTCTTCAGCATAAACAACACAAAAAGTGAACAACTAGCAGTTCACAATTCCGCAAGCCTCTGCCTGTCCAGGGAACAAGCACGAGTGTGTGTCAATGGCAGAGAATTTTGGTTTATACCTACCATTGTGCTTCAGCCCTCACCAGATATAAATTTCTTTTCCATGCCGAACAACCAACAGACTCCCTGTTGGGTGAACTAGAACTGTGCTTTGGGTATTTCTCTACTGGATGTAAATTTACTACAATTCTAAATAGGCTACTTTGCTTGCTTCAGATGAATTTTAATGAGAAAATTAACATGAAAGAGCATTTCAAATTCTGAGAATCCATGCATTTGCCCTGGTTTATGTGTAAACTCAGGTCCACACTACAGTATCAGAGGATTTCAGGAGAAATGTGAGAGGAAAAATTGCAGTATTTACTTTCTTCTCTGGCATTATAACAATCAAAACAAGTATCCAGCTCTCTCCCCGTTACCAGATGTTTACATCTTTTCAGGCATAAAGCTGGCAAACAGGACCCAGCTCCCTCCATGAAAGGGGGAGGAAGATGTCTGCATGACTTAACCACTGGTATTACAGAGATGGTCCTGGTGCAAATAATAAATTACAGCTTTCTCTGTACCATCTAATGTGACTTGCAGCATAAGTAGGGTCAAAACTTAGAATTGTGGAAGTAACACCTAACTGACCAATACTGCAAATTAACAAGGTGCATATTAGTAAAAACTTGAGAGCAGTGTTACTCTGTTGGGTCACCAACTATTTATCTTTCTTAGTTTTATATGATTCTCACTGATCCAGCTGCAGATTAAAAAATAGCTAAACTGAACTACAGCAGTGAGAACAGAAAGACCACCATCAGGAAACAAACATATGAGGGTATGATACACTCAAAGGTATAAACAAAACAATAGGCTATTTTCAACAAGGACTCAAAAAAATGATACAGCTCTTTGTTCTAGATTTATACATTCTTTCCATTATTTTTGTCAAGAATACTTGGGTTAAGCACATTATAAAATAGGACAGCTATTACAGTTAAAGAAGTGGTAAATCAAAAGATAGAAGAATGCTAACAGTGAAAAGCATTAGTGTCCTACTGAAGGGTGATGAGAATACTCAATAGAATTAAAGACACTAAGTTTTTGTTCAATCAAAATGGTCTTGTAACATCTTAACAGATATTCCTTTTTGAAAGGCTTCACCTTAATGAAAATAGCGTAATTTCCAGCAGAGCTGTTGCACTGGCCTTGTTCATGCCTTACATCACTTCCTGTCCATCTATTGAAAGTGATGCTACAGTATATGTCAAGTCACTGAGAACAGAGTTTCATACTAACGCAAGGCACTAATTTTAATTATTCCTGTGGTTAGGCTGTTACAAATTCAATTTGTGCCTTTAGAAGTGTGTCTTGATCACCATAGATATGAATATTCTATATATTTGCTTTTAATTGCTTCAGAAATTATATTCTGGATAGTTAAATTACTGGAAGAGTGCTGCTTTTCTAACAAACAACAGGAAGTCCTAGTGGTGCTCTGTTTTTTCTAGCAAATTATAGAACTAAGCAGTATCAAGGAAAATACTTACTTCATGCACGTTTCCCATAATTAGATCGCACTGTAGATGAATATTCTATCGCAGTTCTTGCTATACGATCGTAAAGAGATATTTGGGCATCTATTTATTGACATATATGTGTTGACATATCGACATGTTGACATATTAATGTGTTCAGTGAGAGCTTTGAACCAAGGATGATGGTTTCTGTAATCCTTAACAATTTTTCAGAGCCAAGGCAGACATTCAGCATCATATTTCCCTTTGGTTTGCAAAAGAATATATTCTTTCTCTTGGATGAAAGAGAAGTTCATCTTTCTTTCTTCATAATGCAGAACTTGAAAATTCTTACCCCCAGATTATAAAATTGAGTCTAATAAGAGTCTAAAATTACCACCTATAGTTGAGAAAATTTCCTTTTTCATATAAACATATAAATTCCTAAATCATTTAAATACAGATTTCAGTAACATGTCTGTATTCAAATGTGTATCTCCAAAATATTAATATAGTTGATCTGTAACTACCAAGATGTTTATGCACAAACAGAGCAAGGTTATTTGATTCTAATTGTAAATTAAGTAGTCACATTAACTGTGTGATTAATTAGTTATCTTCAGTACTGAAGCACCATCCATACCAAACCCAGAAAGACAAGTTACTCTGCCATGATCATTTTAAAAAATCCTTTTTAAGGACTGTGTACATTACAGACTCTCTTTAGGAATCATAATGCATGTTTCAAGGAGGGGGAACCTCCCTAAGTAAGGAGGTTTAGGCTTCCAGAAAATATTATCAACATGTACTCAGCCCCACTAAGAACAGAGTTACTACCTTTTGTATGTCCATTGGATGTTACGGTCATGAGTTGAAGACAGTAATAGATCCATCCAGGAAGGTGATAAGTCAGTGAAAGAGGTGAACACTTATGCCCAGCCAAACCCAAGGAGACATGTGTCATGTTCTCCAGGGTGCATTTAAAACAAGAGTAGAAATCCTTTCAATTACATTGCAGCATGCTCTGCTCTCATCTCAATTAAATGTTGAGGAAGAGGCATTCCTGACGGTGGTGTAGTGCCCTTGGAAACACATGTTCCAGCCCAGCACTGTTCCTAAAACTCTGTAACATCCCTAAGACTAATAGCAAAGGTGAGGTAAGTTTGCCAGAGCACTGTCTCTAAATTAGATCTGCATATTTATGGCTCATTGAAATGCTATTCCAATTTAAAACAGTAATAGGTTCTTCTATTAAACACAAAAATGGTTCAGACAATTCTGGAAATAAGAAATACGTTAATCTTGACAAAGAGAATGAAATGGCTGTTTTAATTTAAAATCATTGCTATCAGAAATTAGCTTTTTGAATAGTTTCTTAAAATACATATTATATGTTTTTTCTTTAAGACATTATTTAGGATCTTTTATGTTTTCCCATTTGTAAGCTTCCAAGTCATAAATCAAAAGGGACACTACTACACTGCCTAATTACACAAAGCTTTTACAATGCTACAATAGCATATGCTTCAGGTTTGCAGAACAGTACATTTTAGTCAAGCCATCTTGAGAAGGAAGTTCTCACCAGAAGCAAACATGCAAACTCTTCATTTAAACGTCTCCTCCATGAGACATGTTGAAAGAGATTGTAGCCAAGGTAACCATCATTCATAGTGTTATTCCTTTCCCTCTTTGAGAACAGAATAGAAATCGTTGATAAACATGGTTTGTTTCACTGTCTTCTGTTGTGATTCCACTAACAGCAGCAATGCCCACCTTGATGGCCAGGTAAACATTGCTCCTATGACAGGCAAGCAGTAGAGGCTAAAGTTTTATCCTTTTCACCTGACTGAGAATATGGGCAGCAAGGCCAATGCTACTTTGAAGAAGCCCAGCTTTATCCAGCAGTTTCTAGTTCTTCCTTCTGTTCTTCTCCTTACTCATTCCATCACTTCCCATGTTCCACCTCCAAATCCAGAATTTTCCTTTCCTCTGAACTTGCGAAAAAAAGAAAACCTCTCCATACTGTTCTTTATACTAAAACCAACACCAAACAAGGACTAGCTTCATGCAAAGCCTGTTCCTGTGCTGGACTCATACTTAACACTTGGACAAGTGCTTCAAGAATGCAGCAAGAACACTTACCCGAACACCCAGCACTGAGTTCCCACCCTCTTGCACTGTGTATCCGTGAGGTATGCATAGTATTGTCTGAGAAGTGAAACAAGAAAACTCTTCAGTGAAGTTGAAATTCCCCGGAGTATTTACATTTAGAAAACAAGTTTATGTTACAAATACATCTATAACAAAAATGAAGTGCTGATGGTTAAAATCACATGCATTAACACTGGATGTCTACCAGATGGCTTCAATTCTAGTAGGACAGATTATCACATAGATCGAATAGCTTGAAACAACACAGAAAACAAACCTGAGAGCAAGGACTGGGAAAGTACCCAAACCAGTAGGCTAACAAAGCTACATATTTGCTTCTTGCCTCTCTACTGAATCTCCAGTTCTTTTAGGCAAAGTGCAACAGCAGCTTTGAAAGAATTAGAGAATCCCCCACTTTTTCCACAGTTTGTCTTCAATTTATTAACAACTGCATTTTCTTGAGAGATGTGGGTTTGAATCTTGAAAGAAACTGAACGTGGCTATTCCATATCCTAGGAGAGTGTTCTAACCAGTGGCATGTTTTCCCCTCAAGAACAGAGTAGAATTTCTCACTATTTTAAAAACAGCGTGGAGATCTTTCTGCTTTGTTTTTTATGGTCCTAAATTTTAAGAGTTTAGAGAGGGGAATTCCAAAGAAGTGGAATCAAAGTTCCTTTTCTCAGTCTCTGATTTCCACTTACAGATGGGGAAGACAAGTGTTATTAATCCAACAATACAAGGATTGATTAAGAATAAAGACTTCTACAGGTTGGCAAGTGCCATAAAAATACTTAAAAGCTCACCTACACAGGAGCTTATAAGGATGTTTAAGGTGATTTAATTAACAGTGTGAAATCACTGCACATAACTTGAGACACTAACAGCTGTATTTTAGGAATAAACCAACGCATGGCTGCCATTTAACTGTCCAAGGTAACGTCACTGTACTCATGAATGGGAAATTCCCTGCCTTTGACTTCAGAACTGTGTGCATTCTGTGTACCTCCATCTATTGTCAAAGGAAAAAAAAAATTAAGGGGACTCTGCTAACAACATGAAATAGTGTGCATGACTAAAAGCAGGTTAATGTTTCTACACAGCTGTTAACATTGCACATGTACTGTTCTGTTACTCTGAATATGGTAATGCTCTATCTTTTCTTATAACATGCTAATATTTTCTGTAGACACACAGAATAAGGAGCTCAGGAGAAACAACAGCTCTATTTTTCCTCATCTACACTTTTGTGAGCAGCTGACTCATCAACTTGGATACTTTCACATGCAGTCCTCAAGGATAACATATGCAGCTAACTCACAAAATAGGGAGACGCTATAAAAACAGAAGATGGAACAGACTGGTTCTGCATCCCTATGGAAACACAGATGTTTATATACATCTTACATTATTAGTTTACTTGTCAGAAAATACACTTTATTGAAAAGTGATTATTGTTTTGCTTTTCATGATGGCAAAAGCATAAATTTCTTGAAAGGTGCTGTACTTACAAACTCTATGCACTTCTTGGGTGCCTAGAAGTCAAGCTACTTTAAACCAAAGAAAAAACACCATGGCAACAAAATTACCTTACAGTGGGTGCTGTAATGATTCCTATGAAGAGAATTCTCCCCCAGCTTAAAGGGTGGCTTGCTTGGAACACAAAGATGTGTTTCAAAAAGAATGTGTTCAACTCAGTCAGCTAGGGGAAAAAAAAAAAGTTAGTTAATAGCATTCAACTTGCATAACTTCTAATGAGTTACTACAGAAGATGTGCAAAGATTAATGTGGAAACTGCAACACTGAAGGAAAACTATCTATGCTCTAACACAGCCCTGCTGGTTAGATTGAGGATTTAAAGAGTCTGAGATTCCTGCTCCAGGACAGGCAAGGAATATACTAGTAAACCAAAGAATTGTCCTCGACACCTCTATGAAAGTATTTGCTCTCTTTCAGGAACCCATTAAGGGACCAGACAGTAATTCACACTGAAGAGGTCTTCTGATAACTTTCATATCCTAAATCAGGTAAGAATGACTGAGACAAATTTGGTAGAGGTGAAGAAAAAAAATGTACCGCAAACACTTCTGGTTCTCCTTTTAAAAGCTAAATCCAGCAAATTTAAAAAAAAAAAGGGGGGGTGGGGGGGAGTTTTAGTGAAGTCTGCTAGCATTTGCATGATGAAGTACCAAAGCAATTAGGATGTGTTATGGAGTCTTGCTGGATCAAGGCCAGAATTCTGAGTATTAGTGATCCATCCAATAGTCAATGGGAAAGAAAAAAACCCCCCAAACCAAAAATACCCCACACAAAAAACCCCAAAACAAATGAAAACCCACTCCAAAACCCCACTGTCTAGCAGTTTTTAAAACTGTATCAATTGCAAAGAGCAATATGATGCCCAGTACAGCAGTCTGTAATATTTGGGTTTTTTGACAGATTCTGTAATTACACTCTTGAACTATAACTTAACTCCTGTGAACAATGCCCTGACAATTCTGTATTATCAATTCATTTAACTGTGTATTTCAATGATGGACATGCATTGCATTAGAATATCTTCTAGCCAAACACAGCCAATAAGTAACTGAGCTGACAGCAGCTTTGATTTCACAGAATTTATTTCTTACCTGCCAAATGATCATGAAAAGGTAGATTCCAGCCACTCTTTGAAACGAAGACTTAGGGTCAAACCAGCGGACATAGGTCCAGCTGGCTGGGGTGAACTGTAATACAGCTCTTTTGATTTTCCCTGTGGTTGTGTGAATGTCCCTAGAAAAAGAGAATGGCTGAAGTAAATACAAGGAATATGCAAGAAAAAAAAAAAGCAATAGCCATGTTACTGATGTTTCAGAACAATCACACTTTTTCACTGGACAGCAGAGATCTTCACAGACACAACTGTGTACCAGGCAAGGGTGAATTAAGAAATATAATCTATTAAGCATTTCAGTCAGGGTGCATTCTGCTATGGAAGTCCACCCTCCTCTACCCTCAGTCAGTAACTACAAAACATACCTATCATTCTCTCCGTGAAGGAAAGAAACAAGGATTGAGATCCTGCAACCCCCTTGGAAAATCTAGAGGATATTTCTTCCTACTCTATGCTGCCACTGCTCTTATCCCAAAGACTCCTTGTTCTAGAGCTCACTGATATCAATCCTTCAAGAATCTGTCAGATTCATCATTCATTAATTGTATAAGGGGCTGGCTCCACAGGCTTCAAAATACTGCACTTCCAGCACACACAACCCCTGCTGTTCTGATATTAGATGCATGCAAATCTTCTGGAGAAATGCAATAGCACTGTTAAAAGCTAGAAGGCTATTAAATTCCCTTTTGAAAGAGGATGCGAATAGAGGTTCATCTGACAGATGTGTTACTGGTTCTTGCTTTTGATAACATTAATTCAGATGAGCAACAGCATCCAAAGGACAGGGAATCTAAGAAAAACTCAGAGTTTCCTTTTCTTAAGGAAGACTAGCAGGGCTAGAAGTCAGTTTTCATCCTGTTATCTCCCTAGCCCTTCTGGACAAAAAAGGAGATTCAGATTTGACATTTCTGATACTTGTGTTCTTTTAGGCTAGTGGGATCTAGGTTAGGGGGAACCTTCTAATCTTTAAGATCTGCATTTATTCAACGAAGAAAGAAAAAGAACACAAGAGGGCACAGGCAAAGGCTTCTCATTCTATGCAGCTCATCTTCACAGTATAGGTCCAAAAAAAATCTACTCATGCATTTAAAAGAACGTGAGGAAAAAATTATTCCACAAAGACAGTGAAGACTAGTCCTGCCATAGGTATTCTGCTGTTTTAACTTTCAGTGAACTCTCTAAAAACATAGGGGCCATGAACTCTATAATGCTCATTATTCCTCCTGAACTGAAATGCAGGAAAATTGAATTTGGACTAAAGGCTAGATGGTTCTCAGAGCAATTAACAAATTTGTGAGTAAGAAAAGAAAGCGGTACAGAAATTCATGTAGGGTACAAATTTGGAAGGCAAGATTTGAGCTCCTTTTCCATCTCTCAAGGCAGTATCCTTTGGCAATTCATTGTACTTGATCATTTCATCTATACCATTGGTAACATGCTGATAACCATGCTTGCCACCAACTGGCAGGGAAGAAGGCAGGAGAGGTGCAAAAAACTATGAAAGGAACCATACCTGGACAGCTAGGAACTGACATTTATTAGGCCATAAGCTGTTGCCCTTTTACACAACATATGCTACTTTATTTTGCAATTACTCCATTTATTTTAGAGGGTCAGAAATGGGCTAAGGCAATCCACAGCACAGGTACAATCAGCCTGATTCCTCTTCTGCAATTACAACTAGTGCTGACAGATTGCCACACTAATGCCTCATCAAGGTGAGCCCAAATCTAGTTAAAAAACATTGTATAATAAGAAAACAATTAGAATTTTTGGTCACTGCCTTCCTCAAAGTTTTAGTTGTACAAAATAAACTAAAAATGCAAATAGCTTTACTACTTTATACTTTCATTTTGCATCAAGGCTTGTAACTTCGATTGCAAAGGAAAATTATATATACATAATCATATTTACAAATATATGCTGTACAGTAGCATTATTATGAGAAGGCTTTTTAACACTTAAAATAAATTTACAGCATTGTTAGCACATGCAGATTGCATGCTATTTCTATACCACATGTGTTTTACGTATGCAAAGGTCTATTTCCCAAGGAAATGAATTTAATATTATAACATCAAACATAATGTTTATCAAGCTTTAATTTAGACCTACTTGAAGCTTGCCCAGTGATAGGTCCTCATCTCCAAGAAACGACAAACTACCATGCCCAACCAGATGCCACCCCCGTTACAAAGCAGGATGTCCAAAATGACTTGATCCCACCAGCATTCAGCAAAATTAGGCAGAAGGTGCATGAAGAAGAGCTACAGAATACAGCAAAAAGATTCTGGGTGAGGAACAGCACAGAATTAATCTAAATTCACTTTTCAAGTACACATTTAAAAAATCAGCTTTTCAGTATGTCATACTTCCAAGAACACAAGCCACAACCACTGAAATTTGATGGGCATCCTTCCATTGACTTCAGAAGGCCTTGGATAGAACAACACAAGACATCAGAGGTTTCCTTCTTACCATTCCCTGCTGGGGCTATGCTGTATATAAGGATATCATGCAGTCCTTGGCCTCTCAAAGATGATATACAGAACATTCATAGAAAGGCACGAAACAAGAAAAACTACTGCATTTCTTGGAGGAAAGAAAGTGTTTTGTGCTTTAAAAAAAATAAATTGGAGAGAATCTTTGTTTTCTTTTTGCTAAATAGTTTTAAGAAGTATGTTTTCTAAACCAGCAACAAGATGCAGTAAGTAGAATGGATGCATTTGTAACATCTGTCAGTACTAAAGCATGCTGGAGTTCAGGACTTAAGACTTGTTCTGTTTCAAAACTTTCTTTCATTTACTATTTTTAAGAAATTTAATAACTGTAAAAAAGATTAAGAGTTCACCAATATTTCAGACACTACAAGCTTTGCTGCTATACTTGATCCAGAATGGTTCAAGAAGTTAAGAGAATATTCCAACTCGCCCTTCCTGCTTGGTCTCTGCTAAGCACTAATGATGAAGGTACTTTTATGATGAAGATACTGGAAAATAGGCCAGAAAGAAACCAACATCAGACTGAAAAGCTGACACCATCTGGATATACAAAAACATATTCAGTCCCTTAAAGACTTCCCCTGGAAAGTACACAAATCATTTACCTCTGAAGCAAGCTGTTCCTTTCTGAATACTGAAATTAACTGAAGACCACTATGAGACATTAGCAAGGCAATTAAATGTATTTACAGATACATTTGGTGACTCTACACTTTTGATAGAGTGAAGGAGAACAACTGGCCAGAGTTAAGGCAAGATATAATTTACTGAGAGCTAGAAATGGATTCAGCGCCTCTCGTTCTCCCTTAAGAGAAAATAATTGTATTCTCTATTCTACAAGAAAAAAATCCCAGCAATCCAAAAAATAGACTGAAAAAGTTAGCTGTGGACTGGAAATCAAGACAGCTATGTGTTAAGCAGTCCCTTTGGAATACTCAAGGAGATGCTCAACAGAACACATCGCAAACTAAAGAATATTCTTACCTCTACAAAAACAGTACAATTTTTGTCAGTTAATGTACATACACTGTGTCTGTGGAAGATTAATGGTTTGATTTTGTAATTAAGTATCTTTTGTTAACAGATGTATAAATAAAATATTGAAAAAAATCAGATGTGGGAAAAGGAACAAGAAGAATGTTCTCTGTATACAGCAAGAATGAATACTGGTCCATTTATAATAAGTTACAGTGATATTGATAATGACAGTTCCTTTGAAAACTCTTGCAAAAGTATATCAAAGGAACTAGTTTTTCTTTGACAAGGCTATGGGAATTTCAACCTGTAGGAAAGAAAATTTGAATTTCTCTTCAGGACCCAAGCTATACAATGTTGCTCATTATCCTGCTACAGTTTCCTTTTCACATTTTAAATTATTTTAACCTGAAAAGGGCACTGGGCTATGAATCTCAATCTGCAGTAATCCAGCCAAAGACACCAGAAGCTACAGATAATAAGGCAGCAAAAACCAGAGCACAGGTGTTAGCCAGACCATCTCTGAGGTGCTAGCCGTCTTCTCAGAATGAGAGAATGAGGTCTGCTTGCATCCCAACTTTAATCCAATAGTAAGGAGCATAAGCCAAGTGTCCCATTTCAAAACAGGGAACCAGCTGAAATCCATTAGTGCTAATAGAAGATGCACAGCTAAATCCTTGTGTAACTGCCTTGATAACTTCTATAGGTTTCTAATGACTCTCCTAAATTAACTAATTCATTAAAAATCCATTTGAGTGGTGATAACCTCTCTATATATTGAACCTTACCCAACACATTGTCTGTTCCAATAATCTGCCTTTCAACAACAGGGAATACTAGACATCCTATACGGTGTCAAATTGACGATGATGGCTGTGTAATGATCAACTGAACAATAAGAATGCATGTGAAACAAATCCAAATGTATTGTTTTCTGGAGGAAAAAACTAAAAACAATAACTAGCAAAGTTGCTTTTTGTGGATGGGTACTTGTGAAATCCCAATCTTAAGCAATTTCAAACAGCATATCCTTCAATGCCACAGAACAAAAACATGTTTTGAAAAGGAACTCATGGCACCAGTATTTTCAAACCCAGAAGTTTAATTTTAGACAACTAAATCCTTCCCTATGTTTCTGAATTATAAATGCCTTGTCAGATGAGCCAAGCATTCTCAAGACAGCAAGCTCTAGAGAAAACTATGATTTTAAAGACTAAATTCAGGTGTTTACATCCACACTATTTGAAGTGTGACAGGTTAGACTATACTGTCCCAAAAGGTGATAAAAATTGGATTTTTTTTTCCTCTAAATTGTCCAATCAAAGAATACAATGAAATTAAACTTATTTTTATAGAAACGCATCCTTGGCTTTTAGGTGACACATATTCTACTAATCAAGCTCTAGATTACATGCAAATGAAAATATTTAGAGTAGCAATTAATCAGCTTGAATTCTTAAAACAGATTGAACAATAAGAACCAGCAGTCCAAGTAACAGTCAATTGACTGAATCAAGTCAAGTATCTGTATTTTTTTTTTTAATCCAAAATATGATTTGAAAGTGCCAAGAGTCAAATGACTTAAGCATGTGCTTGGAAGAACTGTGGTAAAACTAGGCAACAAAAATAAGTCAGTGGTCCTCCAAACCATGGTGCAGATCTAATAAAAATCACATTTTAATGTCACTGAACATTAATAAATTAGGCTTGTGGGGTACAATTTAACAGAAGAAGGTCTATACACTCAGGCATTATGACAGAAAACAACACACCAAATGGTGTCTTGCCATCACATATAGACTTCTTCTCATGGGTCCTCACACCTCCCTCAGGGATCCCTCATCTCCATTTCACTGTACAGTATGCACAACTATACACAATGTGTAATACTGTTGTATTTGGGTTGAGGGGATCATGACAGCAGATCACAGATATTGCAAGGTGAAAAAGGAGAACAACTGCTCTGAATCACAGAATATTAGTCAACATCTGAAGTAGCATGAGTGTTGACTCCCAGAACAGCAGAAAAACAAATTATGGATGGCATCAATAGGCTGGCCTAGACTTTCCTCCTGCTCAAGTAGTAGGAAGTCACTTACCTAAATCCCAGTTTGCTGTTGTCCACTAATGCAAATGCATCAATTGCTCAGCATCTGAGTTATAAGGCTTAAAATGTAAATCTATACTGAGAACTAGTGAGTCATCATTCACATAACATTCACACTACCCCCCCTCCAGCCCCTCAAGAACAATTCAAGCCTCATACATTTGCTTATAATTAAGATAAATGGGTGGCCTACTTCAGTGAGCTCCCAGGTGATGCTAATAGTCCAGCACAGCCCATAGCTCCGGATCAGCAAAGCCTTCATAGCCCAGCCCCAGAAATGCCCAAAAGCAAATATATCAAAGTGGCTAAGGATTCTCTCCCACGTGATAACATGACAGTTCACAGCATACTCCTGTTAATGAAAAAAACCACAAACAAAAACAACAAAAAACCTCAATCAACAGGCAACTTCAGAAACACTAGAATGAAGAAACTTCTTTCTATCCAGTGCAATAAGCCTGAAATTATGAGGATATTAAAATAAGCATTATGTTGTTTTCTTGTCCTTCTAAACTCTGCAGGAAAACAATCAGTATTAAGACTCAGTGTCATCACAGTACAGCTCTACTTTAAAGGGAGATAGAATAGACCTTGGTGCCTGAAAGAGCACATACTTCTTATGTGACAGAGGAACAGCAAGAGCAATAAAATCAATAATAATAAAATCAGCAAACAATACTCCAAGAAAATAGTTATTTGCTTTTCTTTGGGTTCTTGATTTGAAATAACCACCTTTCCCCATTTTCATGCCGTCTAGTGTTCAGATGTGCTCATCAGTGGCTAATCCTCACCAGTTTGTGATGTTATGTTACTCATCTCAATGTTCATTTGAGTGTCTTTTGTGTCTTATTTTCCTCACAAAAGCAATTTCCCAGACCACATTCATATTGAGAAAGTTCAGTCACAGGGCTGAATTTAAAAAAAATCAAAGGGAAATTGCAACTGTTTTGTCACAGATGAGTGGCAGATTCCTTACAAACATTAATTAATATTCTAGTCATCAATAACAAAGGAAATGTGTTCTCTCATCATGTTGTACAGCAAGTGCTAGAAATCACTGCCCAACCAAAAAAAAAAAAAATCTGTATGCCATCAGGAGGCTGCATGTGTGGAGTTCTGTCTTGTCACTGGGCACAAACTGAACTATTCCCAACTGGAAACACACATTTAAAAAAATCTCTGCTCTCCAACCCTCCTAAAATATACATTGCCACCTGGAGGTGACAACACAGCACTACTCAGTGCTGTTGAATTAAGAAAGGATTCTCTTTCAGGCCAGAACTATTACTAATCCTGCACAAATGAACCATGATCAAGTTGAAAAGGGGATGGCAGAGAAAGATTTAAATCCTGGTCTCCATAAACAGAAGAATATACAATTTCACACAAATACTTCTATCAGCAGGCAGTTAAGTCCCACTATGAAACTGTAAGTAACCCTTTCTGCTGGTGCTCCCTGAAGTTGAAAACATGGTATTCCTTCTAGCACAAGCCAGTGCTGCCGGTCATTCAGACAAAGGTACACCACCTGTCCTAAGGATGGCAAAGCAGGAGGTTTAGTGCAGGTACCCAAAGAGATCTGAAACTGGCTCATTTGCCAGCATGAGAAGCATGGAATGCACAATGGAAGCCGCAGGCTCCTAGCTACACCATGATATCTGAAACTCTATGATGAGTGAACACAATGAGGTTACTCCAAAAGTAAGCTTTTTTTCAGGACTCTTGCTTTTTTGCTGTTATTTTTACTGTGGCTTCCCCCCCCCCATATCATCTTTCCAGCTGCAGCTCTGCCAATCATACAGTGAAATATGTTGAACTTTCTTTTATACTCAAGCAACTTAGTCACCCCTGTGCAAGAAACCAAGCTGCAGCCTTCATTACAGTTGCACTTTCAAAATTTACTCCAACTTTAAGTGACAGTATCAAGATTGCAAAGTAGTATAGACTAAGTTTCCACTGACTGCTAGAGTCAGGGAATCTGCTGCTCTGTGGTTCTGTGCCAGTAGTAATACTAGTCCTCCCCTGACTTGAATCTATTTATTTCTAACTTAAATGACAGGAGAGCCAGGTGAATCTGACTTACCAACAGACCCCTCATCTCAGCTCCCTTTTGTTGCTCAGCAACATCACTAACCCCCATGCTCATGCTCCATTTAGCAACATGTCCTCCCACCACCCTAACAGCAGGCTGCCCATGCCTTGCCACCACCACACATCTCCTGCAGAACAGAAAGTCACAGCCCTGCTCTAGATGCTGGAGTTGCACAACACATACTACTGATCAGCAACACCTGAAGCATCCAGAGCTTTCCAGCTAAGGAGCCTGTATGCAGCCCTCACTATCAATCAACTAATGTAAGCTTACTGTACTGTAAAGTTTTCTATTCCCTCTTACATGCTACAGGGCAGGAGTTTGCAGCCACTGCTGATTAGGTGTGGTGCAGTACTTTGCATGTGCAATAATTGCTATGACCAAAGACAGTCAGTGTATTTCCTTACTCTTGAGGCATGAGCCCAGTAACAGCACCCACTATACAGCAGGTGACCATGGTGCGCAGATGCGCAAACCCAAGGGCAAGGAAGCACACTGGTCAGGTGGTGGGCAATAATTTGATGCAACTATGAAGAGGACAAGACTGGCAACTCTTGCCTCTCCATGCAGTAACCCTCTTCTGCTTGGTGCCCTACTACTCACACCCACAATTCACAACAATTGATTTCAATGTAAAGAATCAGCAGTTGACACAAAAGGCTCATTGACTGTCAAGTATAGGCACAAACTTGCACTGCTCATGCCAGCAAATTCAGGTTTATCCCTTTCCACCCACATAAAACATATCTGAAGTAGTCAAAATGTCCAATAAAGTGCCATGGAGACATACCATAATATCTGCTTCCCTTGTGGCATATCGAAGATTAGGATCCAGCCAGTACATCACTGCTTTTACCTGCTCAAAATTAAGGAAGAGCACGAACACCAGGAACAGAAAATAGAGCACACTGAGACCTGCAAAAAGACTCAGCTTTAGAATCACGTTCACTCACAAAACTCCTTGAGACACAGAGAGTCCAAAAAGCTACTTCCAAACTGTTACTCTATACATGCCCCGTTTGCACAAATTGAGTTTTCTACATACAGTGGCTACATGCAAAAAAGCTTAACAGACCCAAGTCAGATGGTAATCTCTGAGCACTCAGCCCTTCATATCACCTCCTGTTTCAAGTGATATAATATAGGTTTGACTGCATGAACCCAAACAAAACAAAATCAGTCTAATCAGTTTAGACATGAGTAGTACAAGGCTGTGATCAGGAAGCTCTTTAGTAAGAGATACATTAGGACCCCAGGATTGGATTAGCTCTGTGCCTTTGCTTTAAGTATTCTTGGTCTCAATAATGCAGGTCCCTAAGCCTTTATGCAGATTTCAACACAAAGAACAATTTAATAAACCCACCTGGCAATTCTGAGCCATGCTGGCAATAAAAAGTAGTTATAAATATAAAATAATGTATGTTTGAGTTACTTTTGTGAGCCGGAAAATTTGCTGCTTGAAGCTTTTAAAGATAAAAATGATTATGATTTGTTGTCACACCATTATAAATTATGAAACACTATTGCATTTGGGACTACCACCTCTCTCCTCCCAACATCTGAATATGGATCTTTATAAAAAAGAAAAACTTGTAAGAAGTTAAGAGTCCTAAGAGTAGATCTGTGGGTAGACGAAGCTGCTGCTGGGAGTATATCTCTACATTATTCACAAGTTCACAGATATCTAAGACCACATTTGGAAGAGGTATATAAACACTAACACCATTTCCATAGTCTAGCACTCAAACTTACTTGTATCCTGCAGCAATGTCATGGAAGGCAGAAAGATTAATGTGAATAAACTTAGTATCTACCATACAAAATAAACTACAGAAATTCTAAAAAGATATTTTAAACTATAACCAGAACTCACATGTTATTAATCCCCCATGTATGCTAGAGAACAACTGCCATTCAAGTACACACATGAACAGAAAGTATATATACTGTCCTCTGTAGTACATCCTAAAAACACATCAAGTAAACAGATGCCACACTACTACAAGAAGTACAGGTTGCAGGCGAGGGTACATCCTGAAATGCTGAGGACACACTACTCCTGCCTTTCATCTACTGAACAGGTCTGAGAAACTGAGGCATGGCTAAACAAACCATGCCAGAAGCAGCAGAATTACACGGGGAAAAATGTTGCTCTTGATTTTCCATGCAGCCTTTTCCTGGAAGTACAAGGGGTCAAGCCCTGACAGTATCAACATTGCGAATGACCTTTTACTTTACATTTGCTGAAAACTGAAATGAGCAGTAGGACCTGTGTTTCCCAAACTTCACAAGAAGCAGGATTCTTTAACAAGTACTATCTAATCAGCAGTATCCTCTCAATGTCAACAGATGAGTAATCAGCTACTTTGGGAGGCTACTTATTTTTAGCTATATAAGGTGGCAGGAGAGAGAAACATTCAGTCCCCTCAAAAAGAAACAGATCAGCTTTTAAATCAAATATGCCTAATTCTCTGCAAATGTGCTTAAAGTCTAGGATAGGCTCTGTGAACTCTGAATATTTCAAAATAAAATTCCTTCTGTTTTTGCCATGTAATTCAGATGTTTAAGGAGCAGAATTTCACTCAGTTTTGTAGTTAATAGAATTATTTTCCAAACTATGAATGCGACTAATATTTACAGGTATTTTTGCTGAAATTATAAGTTAAGAACATGAATATATACATGTTAAGAATATTAATAAACGTATGTTAAGCTATAGAATGATATAATTTAATAAACATATAAAGTAATAGCACATTTTGCCAATAATGAAAAGAAGCACCCTACTAGACCGGATTTTGGTAGAAGTCAGATAGTATATGCAGTAGCTATAAAAAACCCAAACTTTTGGGGTGGGAAGAGATGGCAGTAGGAAGGGTGTGGGGGAGATTAGGAAGCACAAACACAAAACAGGTTAAAACAGAGTATCAGGATGAATGATCCCTTTCTGGTGATTTAATTTACACCATCCTGACACAGAGTAACTACAATGACATTCCCAAACATAACTAAGAACAGATTACATAAGCAACTGCTCAGAAGTGGGAGGGAAGTGACATTCACGCAAGTTTGATCCACAGTTTTGTTTCAGGACAATTCCATTCATCTGAAAGTTAAAATGGCCAGTCCTGCAGAAGCACTGAAAAAGCCAGAAACACAACTTAAACTTACCAAAAACCATTCTCCATATTGCAGGGTGGGGACGAGTAAAGGGTCCTGTGGACAGTAAACAAAAAGCTTATTAGAAGACAGTCAATAAGAACCACATAATCTATTTTTGAGTATATCACATATGAGGATTTGGCATAAGCACAGATCACTTCTCCATCAAATATAGCCAAAAGTTGGGGCTCTATGTAAAAAAAAAAAATTAAAATAAATGGTAACAACAGATTTCAGAGAGGAAAAGGAGACTGCCAATTAGTAGGGTGCAGACAAAATTTTTCATTATTTTTATAGAGTTTTTTCCAGAACAGTAGTATGCTGTTTAATCAGCAGACACCATATCTCAGGTGTCACCTGAGGATCTCAATCTGGTTTCTAGACCACAGCTCACACATGGCTTGCTCCCAATGAAGTCATCAAATACAAACTTCTGTGTGTCAGCAAAGAAACATGGTGCTTAGCCTTCAGACTACCATGAAATGTTAGCAAACAGGCCTCCTAAAACTTCCAAACTGAGTATCGTATATCTGGCAAGAAGTAAGATACCTATGCTCTTTACTAGTGTCAATATTATTTACTTTAGAGCCAGTGATTAAACTGACTTTATTAGATTAAAAACGTCTCAGTTAATGTGAAGATCAGAGAAGGTAAGTCTGGTGAAACTGGAAAACCTCTAAACACGAATCATACATTTAGGTAGCAAGAAGTGGCTGAACAAATATTTTCAGCACACGCTGCAGACTGCTCTTTCACCACTGTACGCATAAAGCTCATTTTCCTCTGGCATTCAGTTTTTCAGGGAGAACTTTGTGAAAAGTATGGATTAATGATTTTTAAAATGTGAGAAAAATACATCCCAACTCTGAAATACAAAGCTGCCCTGAGCACAATCACTGTTTCTTCCTGAACACTGCCAATCCAGAGACAGTTTAGACTTGAAGAATTATGCTTTTGCTGACAGCTGTAAGTAAAAATTAAAAAGAAATAAATAATAAACAAACCCAAACATAACAGGAAGACAGCATTTCCTCCACAGAATTAAGTGCCATGCAAGGGTTTTTATACTTTTGCACTTTCTGCTCCTCACATAATTACCAAAACTTTTGTCCAACTTAACCTTCTACTGAGCAACTGTGCTTTTACATTGTAATGTAACTCAGACCATTTCTAACTATCACTAGCTTCCGGTACGGTGATTTACATAAGGTGTTATATCTCTGAGAATTTGTAGAATGACACTTCTCTTAAAACACACTGAGGCAGACTCCTGTTAAACATTATTTAAAAATCTGGCAGCATCATTACTTAGCAATCTGAGCTGCAGCTGTGCACCTGCAAATAGAGACACTGATTTTGAGAACCTGACTTCCTTGTTAGATACAGACAAGCTATAAATAACTTGCATTTTACCATTATCTCCTCTCAGTGTGATTGCAACCCATTTTTAAACTGCTTCTTAACATAAAGGAATGACAAAAGTGTAAAGAAAAAAAATTTTTTAAATGGTACTTTAATAAAAATCAAAATATAGTGGCAATGAAGCGAAAGTCACATGTTACAAAGTGAAGTATAAAAGTATAAACTTTACTCACCATTAGGAAAAGCTAGAACACTGATGATTAGAAAGAAGAAAATCACAGAGAGGATACCCCTCCAAATATTATCCTCTGGGACAGAATCATCCCTGAAGAGACAGACAACATCAAAGTGTTAACGTACATTATAAGGATAAAGTCGAAAGCCTCTGAAGATATCATATTATTTAAATAAAGACTACATGGAAATTAAGTATAAAATAAGCATGCTGGTTATATAACAAGTCAAGATAGTAACTGCACTGAAAGGTTTTCACTCTGCACTTCTGGGGATCCCTTTCTCTCAAGAGAGTTAAACATATAATAAATACATACGAGCCATAAGTATTGTTATGCAGAAGCAATGACTAAGTTTAACACAAGGTAAAAATATGTTCCTGCTTTAATGTTCACAGAAACATCATCAAAAGTACTTTTACACAGCAGAGACCTAGACCAAAAAACTCTAGAGGCCTAGATGCAATTCCTTGGTTTCCCTCTGCTGTTTCGGTGCTGGTCTCAATCCCCTTCGCTTCCCCTGGCCTGTTCCCAATGCCAAATGCCTGAGGTGAGTGCAGAGAGGGCGGAAATAATGACTACAATCAGCCTTTGGAAATCATGATTACACAGCTTAGAATCCACGTATAACAGAGAGGTGGCAAAACTTAAAAAAAACAAGGAAAAATATCAACTTGCTTTTAGATCTATTAAGCCAAAGCTCTGAATAAAATACCAGGTATTATTTATGCTACTGTCATATTATGTCCAGAAGACACACCTAAGAATTCAGTTTGGAATGCCAAAGCAAACCTGACTGAGCTCTTCTTTCTTTTCGGGTAGGTAGAATATAATGTACAGCAGCAAGATTAACAAACAAAAAAAAGCCCACCCAAGTCTTCTAACCAGCAGTCAGCTTCTAGGGTACTTCAGTAATACAAATGGAAACAAACTTCAGACCATCATAATATGCACAGCTAGTATTTCATAATGTATCACCTACTACAATTCAAATTAAAGTTTTACTATCTGGGTAATTTTCATGTACTTAGGATCAGTTTACCTATTTAAATATATTCCTTTATTTATTCCTAACCCATGATACCAAAAAATTCCCAGCAAATTTCAGAGGGATAAAGGTCTTCCTGGCAGAGTGTCTGTCACATTTCTGGATGGTTCAGTAAAGAATCTGTGGCAGCATAAATGCGCTCCACATTAGCTATTTGCTGCAGTTATAAAATATTTCTCACTTTGCCACATCATTTCCCTTTCCCTCAAAATTGAACCTTAACAGCTACACAGCAGACTTTCATCATTGTGAGGCATTTAAGCACTGTGTTAGTTTAACTGTAGGAAAAAGTACATTAAACATCAATGGTTTCTATGCAGGCCTCAGGGACTCCCCACAGCATTTATTTTTTTTTAAAGCGGCTCAGTCCAGAATTACCAGTCATTTTCCAGCAGGCATGCTGCACAGGCTGACACTTTATACCAGCTATGAACCCCAAGTTCCAGAGCTTAACTCTGGCTCCCCTGGCAATCTCAAGAGCCTCACGCCATCCAGTGCACTTCCCAGCCAGAGCCTCAGGCTCTGATGGTTCAGACAGCAAAACCATATTCCTGTTTTAACATACGCAAATAACACACACACATGCTGTCACAGGTGCCACCAAGTGGGGAAATTTCTCCTTTTTTTGAAGAGAGAACAGATTACTAGAATGACAACACTGTACAATTCAGCCAAAAAAGAAGTGAAAGATGCTGTGATCACATCACTTAACTGTCACACCAGCTGGGCTGAAGGGTCCTCACCTTTGCATATCAGGATTCTGAGTACTACTTAGCTTCAGGAAAGCTGTCCTACTCACATTGACACCACTTCCCCCCAAAATCAACAAAGATGTTGTATGCGGTGTTAAACTGCATTTCATTCCAAGTGAGTGGTAGAGGCATTTCATTTTGACTTGCAGATACCTTTCAAAAGGGATAGGTATCCAACCTTCTTGCCAGAAGCAGGTAAAAACAGGTGGGAGCGAGAGACTTGCTACTGTGCACTAGTTAGGATAAGAATTATAGTGTTTGCCTGGAAAAACTATTTTGGGGAATGCCAAAAGAGACAGGGAAGCAAAATAACTGTTGGAGGAAAGACACAATCACAACAAGCTGCAATCAGGAAAACATGCTAAATCATCTCCTCACTCAGCCTTAGGAACTTTGATGCTAACTTTGAAATATAAGCATTCATGCAGCAAAAACAAGATTTCTAATGCTCGCGTGGGAGGACAGATGAAAATTCTCTCAATTTAAACCCACTTTACCAGCACATTTTTCAATTCTGTGGCTTGTTGGAGAAGAAATAATAAAAAAAACCCAAAGCATATAACAACCACATAACCTTTTTCTCTCTCCTGCTCTTCTCCTTGCTCTAAAGCACTATCTTACTAGTTTACATTTTTGTAATGTACCACTGTAAGTTACTATATCATGAATAAAAAAAAAACCGAGGATACTCAACTGGGGAAAAAATAGTTAGGACACTAAATTTAGAGTGTGTTTGGAGAAAAAAAAAATCTTCCATAAACTCCCCAAATCAAACCTAAATGCACAATAATCCAGTCTAATCAACTCCATTAATCAAGGGATGCAAAAGACAACACCATCATAGGTCTTACTCTTGCTTCCATAAAGCCCTGAAACTTCACACCAGAAGATACTAATCTGTCACCTTCCTCAGTCCTGTTGTTGTGCCCCCAAAATATCCCCTCCAGCACCCGCCTGCCCTCCTGCTGGTTGGCTCCGGGCTCAGAGAAGGCCACATCCCTCTCTCCAGGGAGGAAGAGGACAGGGAAAGCTAGAGCCACTCCATGCCTCCACTCCAGGGAGCAGCCTGGAAGCGGAGGAGCCAGTGTCTGGCTCATTCAGCAGGAAATAACCAAGGCAGCTGCAGCCATTGTCAGAAGCACTATAAGGATGTGCTTCAAAAAACAGAACACCCTCTACTCCTCACTTTAACGTGGAAAAGTTAAACACACTCACATTTCTTTTTCTGGATTATTAATATTATTATTGCTACCTGAAGATTACTGCTATTTGAAGTTCAGCTTCACCCTTATCTGTCAGCTTAAAGACAGTATCAGCTGCTTTCAGTGATCCCAAGGGAGAACCCACGTTATGGCTTGGTACATCCAAGGGAAAAGCATTTTCTAGGTTTATCTGAACCCCCACATATTTCTGACATAAAACAATTACAGAAGAGACAAGAAAGACTTTAAGGGAAGCAGAATTTCCCCTGCCTATGCTGAAGTTCCTGAAAAAATAAATTTTACTTAACAACAACAGTATGAATGTATCATAGAAAATCCCCTACTTAATAAATTGACCAGGAGAGCTATGGAAGAATTGACAGCACAGGGGAAGCAAAGAATCACTTGTCACAGCTTACTGGGAAGTCTACAGTGCTTTGCGCCCAGGAGGTAGAAACACAAACACAGTCACTGGAGACTCAACACAGTAAGCTGATGGGAATAGAAAGACCAGACCTGGCAGCACATACTGTAACCATATGGTGAACTATCTCCTCTACCCCAGTTTCGCAAAGAGTACTTATGGTTTGGGTAGTGTCCCAAATAAGGCAACAGAGGCAGCACTCTGGTATCACCCGGGACATTTAGGAAACTCCTGCAATAGTTGGAAATAGCAGGAGGGTTGGGGTAGAAAAAAAATCAGAGTAGTTTCCACAGCCTGAAGAGGAGAAACAGAGAAGAGTTAAAGAGGAGTCAGTGGATATTTAAACACAGGAAGTAAGGCAGAGCAGAGACAGACAGGGGGAAGAAAATGAAACTGAAGAAGTTGGAGTTCGAAAGCTAGCAATCCTCTTGGAAAAACGCAAACAAACATCCCAGAAATGAAGCAATATTCTTTGGGCCCAGAAGACTCCATAGTTCTGAAATTGCTATTTGGCTCATCCTCTGCTTGAAAGCATTAATGGCAAAATTCCTTTCCTCCCCCAAAGGTGAACGATCAATTCCGTTAATCCTTCAGAACAATGTCTGGATGAGAATCCCTTAGTATCTCACAAGTTTGCCTAAATTAGCCCTATAGTGAGAAAAGCGATCTGGTCAGGGGGGAAACAGGACAAGACAAGAACTTGCAGCAAAGGTCTCTAATTGAACATTGTATCAAAGCACAGAAACATGTCTCCAATTTTAGAGTTAAGAAGGGATCCCTGGGATACTCTACCTCAGCTTAGATCTCGTTACCTAAGTAGAACAAGGGATCTCTTCACCAAAAATATCTTCCTTGAGGCCATACACAAGTTGAAACAAGAAAAGGCACACCTCAAACCATCTGCAGCTACACTATTTTACGTTTCCTTATGCTCCTTTCTCAGCTCAACCCAGGCTTGACCATTATTTTCACAGCTGATAAAAACTATACATTGGGCTTCGTAGAATACGATAGAAGATTACACACTGAATTGTATATCAAGCCTAGGGACAAACAACGATGATGTTCTGTCAAATGCAGAGTTTAATCAACAAGGCCATTGAAATCTGTGATTGCATACATACAATGCCACAAAAGTATAGGTGAGCCCAAAAAATGATGCACAGCTCAGCCAAAACCTCTCAGGACTCACTTTTTGCCCAGAGACTGCACGATTTAGCCTAAAGGAGGATTATGTTATCATCTTCATAGTCCTATTCAGTAGAGGCAACAAAAAGTACGCACAACTTAGAAAACTACTGCAAGATACCCTTCAGACTGCACTGCTATACCCTTTATTTACAAATAAGGCTCCTGAAAATAATTGCATCCATTCTTAGCTGTATTTCCATGAATGACTGGAAGTGGCGAAGTCCGCAGAGCTGTTCCCGTGGTGGGGAAAGGATGTGGCTAAGCGTATCAGCACCAGGGCCTAAGCCAACGTGTGACTGGCCACAAAGTGTGTTGTATAAAAACAGTGGCACGAAACAGTCACTCCCATCTGCTGAAGGCTTGGTAAATTATCTGCTTGTGTGATGTCATTGCTGGGCTTCTTGATATCTAATAAAAGCCATTTTCGGCAACTGCTTGAAACATACATTTTGGTAAAGACTTTAACAGACATCCTCAAAACGATCAACAAGTTCCCAGGAAACGTAGCAGAGGAGGATAACCGCTCTCCAAACGGAGGGCCTCCCGAGCAGGGTGCTCTCCAGCCAGCTAGCGATGCAACAGCCCTGCCTGCAGAGCATACAGCAAGTCACGGCCCGACACCAGGTCTCCCGCTAACCCGCCCCCAGGAGGAACCGCCGCCCGCCGGAGCCGCGCTGCCCGTCCTCGCCCCCGGGGC